ATTAAGGCTAAAGAGACAGGAGTTCTTCCATCTCTGAAAGACCTTTACGAGCGGACCCACCGGAAAAAGAGTGGGCAGTTTGTAGATCCTGCTTCCGAGCGGATCTACAACGAGGTTGCTGCCCGAGTTGACGAACGCCAGACCCAGCTGACTCAGCAGACTGGAGCTTCGGTCGTATTATCCACTCTTGAAGTGGATAAGATTTACGAGGAGGTAAATAATTTGTTTTAATATATTAATTTTTATTATTTATTTAAATTTTTCCTTACGTTATTAATATTTTTATTTACAAGTCGTCCCTAGGAAAAAGGGCCGTATTGTCGGGATTGGCTCGGTTAACGATATCCCCGCAGTGACATCGGCTTACGTTCACCAACAAGACGATGTCAATGCTCAGTTGCGGACGGAGTTGCAGGCGACGCAGTCTCATGTGAGTACGCTCACCGATATCCTCGACATTATGGCGGTTGGAAACCCGCAAGTGGCGGAGATGTTGCGTCAGAGACGGGAAAGCGGAGCCCTTCCACCCCAACAGCCTCCACCATCTCAGTCACAGCCGCCATCCAACATTGGAGACGACGACTTCATGCACCAATTTCAAGAGCAGCATCCCTTTTAGTTTTTTTAGTTTTTAATTGTATATTATGAATTTTAAAACTTATTAATTGTATATTATTTAGTTATTTATAAATATTTAGTTATTTAACTTTTTATTTATAATTTGGTTTTTTTTTTCAATTTTTTTAATATATATAATTTTTAATTTATAAATATTTTTTTTAAATAGGAAAAAATTATTTCGAAGCAAAATCCTCGTAAAGGTTTCGAAGTAAACTCCTCGTAAACTTTCCTAGCAAGTTCCTCGTAAAGATCCTACTACGAGATTACGAGGAAATAGTTTACTATGAGCTTACGAGGAAAGCCTACGTGGACCTTACGAGGAAAACGTATCCACGCGTTTACGAGGAAATGTTTCCTCGTAAATTAGCTAGGAAATTACGAGGAAAATATGCTTTACGATGAACATCTTTCGACGAAACGCGTTTCCTCGTTATTTCCTAGTAAACATCCTAGTAAAGGATCGTTTACTAGGAAATAACGAGGAAAACCCGTCCTAGTAAAGGACATGTTTTCTTGTAGTGTACCTTTTATTTCTTCAGAGTCTGTGTCAAGTAAACCTCTTGAGAGGATACATTGTGATCTGTGGGGTCCCAGTCCTGTTATGTCTTCTCAGGGTTTTAGATTCTATGTGATCTTTGTTGACAATTATTCAAGATTCACTTGGTTCTATCCTTTAAGACTTAAATCCGACTTCTTTCTTGTGTATCTGCAATTTCAAAAACTGGTTGAAACTCAATTTCAGTCCAAGATTATGCAGTTTTAGTGTGATGGAGGAGGAGAATTTGTTAGCAAACAGTTTGTCGCTCATCTTGTTGAGTGTGGGATCAAACAAATCATCTCCTGTCCTCACACGCCTCAAAAAAATGGGATTTCTGAGAGGAAGCATCGGCACATTACTGAGTTAGGCATCACTATGATGTACAACAGTAAGGTACCTCAACACATGTGGGTGGAAGCTTTCTTTACTGCATCCTTTCTCGGAAATATGCTCCCTTCTACATCTCTTCCTGACCGTAAAAGTCCTTATGCTATGTTATATGGTAAAGATCCAGTGTACACTGCTCTACGTGTATTTGGCTGCAAGTGCTTCCCATACTTGAGAACTTATATGAAGAACAAGCTGGATCCTAAGTCCCTTGTATGTGTGTTTCTCGGTTATAATGAAAAATACAAGGGCTATAGGTGCTTTCATCCTCCAACAGGTCGAGTATATATCAGTAGGTATGTTCTTTTTGATGAAACACACTTCCCTTACTCTGGTATATACTCAAAGTTTCTTCATGCGCCTACTACCCCTCTTCTTTCGGCTTGGAAGTTGTCACCTGTAGAAGCAGAGAGTAACCAACAATCTACAGGATCAACAACCGAAGATTTTCCACCTCTTACTTGTCAGTTGGTTAATCCTGTTCAGGTTCCTCATTTCCCAACCTCTCCTATCCAACATAATGATGTCTAGCAGCATAATTCTGATGAGGAATCTGAGCATCAATTGACTGAAGATAGTACGGATGCAGAAGCAGAACAGACTGTTGAAGAAGCACTTGTTCCACCGGCTCATAGTATGACTACAATAGCTAAATCTGGTATTATAAAGCCAAATCCGCGTTATGCTTTGTTCAGTGACAAGTCTGAGCTTGCTGAACCTCGGTCTCAGAAAGCTGCACTTCGTCATCCTGGTTGGAATTCTGCCATGGTCGTTGAAATGGATAACAAGGCTATTACTGAGACATATGAACTTGTTCCTCCAGAAAAGAGTCAGAAACCGTTGAACACTGGCTGGGTTTACAAGAACAAACTGAATGCAGATGGCACTCATCTCAAGCATCGAGCTCGTCTAGTTGCTAGAGGTAATGAACAGGAGGAAGGTGTGGACTATGTTGAAACATTTAGTCCAGTAGTTCGAACTGCTACAGTTCGAACTATCTTACATGTTGCTGTCACTAAAGGATGACATATTAAACAACTTGATGTTCAAAATGCTTTTCTGCATGGAGATCTTAAAGAAACTGTTTACCTCACTCAGCCTCGTGGTTTTGAAGATCCATCAAGACCAGACTATGTGTGGAAGCTTAAGAAAGCTATTTATGGGCTCAAACAAGCACCTCGTGCTTGGTTTGACAAATTCAGTAACTTCCTTCTAGACTTCGGTTTTCAGTGCACCTTTCCTGACCCTTCATTATTCATTTATCATCAAGGTTCAGATGTTATATACCTTCTACTTTACGTGGATGATATGCTTCTTACTGGAAACAACTCAGCTTTGATTGATAAACTCATGCTGCAACTCAACAAAGTGTTTCGTATGAAGGACATGGGATATGTTCATTATTTTTTGGGCATCCAGGTTCATCATACAACAGAGGGTTTGTTTCTCAATCAGTCTCAGTATGCTAAGGAGTTGTTGGTTACGGCTGGTATGCAAGACTGTGCTCCAATGCCGACTCCACTCCCCATTAAACATGAGAATCTCAAAGGTCAAGATGAAGATTTCTCTGAACCAAGTTACTTTCGTAGTCTTGCAGGCAAGTTACAATACTTGACTTAGACGCATCCTGACTTGCAATTTTCTGTCAATTACATTTGTCAGAGAATGCACAAACCAAGTGTCTCTGACTTCTTCCTACTTAAGCGTCTCCTGCGATATGTTAAAGGCACTTATGACATGGGAATCGGTATTACTGCTGCAACGAATTCAACACTTCTCTGTTACAGTGACATTGATTGGGCAGGCTGTCATCAGACAAGACGATATACTGGTGGCTTCTGCACTATTTTGGGATCAAACATCATCTCTTCGTCTGCTAAACGTCATGATACTAAACCCTAATTCTAAACCCAAATCCAAATATTAAACCCTAAATCTGAATCTATAAACCCAAATCCAAATATTAAACTAAATCCAAGCCTCTAATCACTAAACCCTAACATAATTCATATAAATCATCTATAAGGCTTATAAACCACCTCTAAACCTTTATCATTAAACTTTAAACTCAATTATAAACTCTAAACTCAAATGTAAATCCTCAATCCAAATAAAATAGAACAAAATAAATAGCATACTACATATTGGTGAATTATGAAATTTGGATGGGGTTAACGAAATTTGTGTGAATGAAAAACAGATTGTGTCATTCTAATTATTAAACCCTAAATCCTAATCACTAAACCCTAAACCTAAGTATAGACCATAAACCCAAATACTAAACTCTAAATCCTAATCACTAAATCCTAAACCCAAATATAGAACATAAACCCAAATATAATAAAACAAAATACATAGTATAGTACACATTGGTGAACAAAATATAATATTATTTATTAATCATTATAAATTTAATCATTATAAATAGTTTTCATCTTCTAACCGAACATGTTCTTCAATTAAAATGGTACAATTCAAGATATTTCCCAAAACGTGAAAATCTAATAGAACAGTGACCCATACACAAAATTCCAACGTTATGCATATGATAATAGACTATTCCATTTACATGAATACAAAAGTCTATTCTATTACATGTGTTCTTAGGTCTATTTTATATGCAAGATACAAGATTCAACAGTAGAATAGAATGAACACGACATCCAAACGCAAATAAACAAACTTTCGGGTTTCTGAGTTTACAATAGAGATTCACACACACAACAAAATTTATTTCGAAGAGAATAAAAGAAACCACCAGAAACTTATTGGCTTGAATTCCCTTGTGGAAAACGGATTTGTGAAGTCGAACTGTAAATCGTGACTTCACCTCGCCGCGCTATGGTGTTGTCTTATTCGCGCCTCTCAGTATCAGAATCTCAGATGCTCCCCTTCTCCCAGTGCACGAAATGTGGTGGTCTTCTTCTCTCACCGCCGGGAATTTAGATAATTGTGTTACCAATGATGTTAATCTGAGATTAAATCTATTTACCTTTTCAATTAAAAGATGACGTGAGTAAGATATGTGGATAAAGAAGAACCACAATTTATATTTTACAATAATTAATTATTTATTTAAATTGATTTGGTTGCAGGTTTCGTCGGTTATTGAGAAGGGCATAACTGTATTATTATAAAAAAATATGTATTGTATTCTAGCAAAATAGGTCAAAGCGTTAGATAATGAATTATAATTTTTTGGACGCTATAGCGTGCAATTTCCCAAGAAATATTCTCAAATGTGACGAACTAAAAAGAAAGAGAAGAAAGCGATATAACCTGATTCATTACCTTCGTCAAACTAGCCTCATGGGTCACTAATCAAACCTTAGCAGCGATAGCATGTTGTCTTTTTTTTTTTTTTTTTTTGAAACACCGATAGCCTGTTGTCTACATATAAATAAATGACTACAAATTACAAACTTATTAGACCAACATAACAAAAACATACAAAATGTACATGTCTCGGTTAATAACTGTTGCTATTCCTCTTTCTATATATATATTTTTTTGCTTCCCATATTTTGATCTTGTTCTTTGACTTTGGATCAAACACAGTATTTGCTGGATTATCATACGGTTACGAAGCTCCCAATAAGATTATGTTAATACTTTCTTGTCATGAGATACTCTTTCTTCGTTATTTCGTTTTCTATTTCTTAGAATTTAGTGTTTAAC